TTCAGTGAGGCTGATCGCCCTAACCGAATTCAGTTAACAGTTAGGAGGATATTATTATTATTGTGAATAACTTATACATAGTTCAATTACACAATAGACGACACGTTTGGCTCAATTTGTAGTGACCCTATTTGCTGTGCCAGCGGTTGCGGGTTCGAGTCCAACTGGGGGTATTTATTTGTGTGATGTGTACAAATGTTTGTATTCCAGTCATCTGGTATCCATAACACAAGCTTCGTAGCTTACCATGGAACTAGATGGTGCTGTGTGTTAATGTTTAAAAATCTAAACTCATATCTATAGGACATGTAGTTTATATTATTAAGAAAAAAAGAACTTGTCTATATTAAAAAAAATATTATTTAATTGCAGAAATAGGTTCAAAAAATATAATATGTAACTTGAGTTTTCCATTCTACACGCTCTCACAAAATAAATAAAGTATAAATATTATAAGTTATACTTATGTACATACATACGTACGTGGGCGAATCCGGCAATCGTAATTAAATAAGCTTAAAAAGTCACACAATTGACGCGTTCGTAAAAACAAGTTAATAAGGTTCTAAAAGAATGTGTAGTTCCGTCTTACTTGTAAATAAATTTTATTTCTACGGGCTTCTTAATTTCGAGATATTATTACATGATATTCGATAAGGCTGTTTACAGAGAGACAGTATTTTATCGTTGCATGCGCGTATGTAGCCTTTTTTAACGTCCCACTACTGGGCACGGGTCTCCCTTCAATATGAGGGTATCAATATAGGGGGATCAGGTCATATTCCACCACGCTGCCCAAGTGCGGGTTGGCGGGTAGGCACATGTTTATCAAAAACTTGCTAAGTTTTCTCAGACATGCAGTTTTCCTCACGAAGTTTTTCTTCGCCGTAAGACAAGTGGTAATCATGTTGGAAATGATTCGCACATGAAAATATCATAGGTGCGAGACGCGGGATTTGAATTCACTTCGCTCGGTTTGCCAAGCGAGAGCGTTACCACTGAGCTACCACTGCCTATCTTCTAGCTATAAGCTAGCTGTCATATTTAAGCTATTATATTCTTTAAGAGCTTTAAGAGTTTTTTATTCTACTTTTACAAATAGCCGTCATGTGTTCAAAGCCTAACTAAACAGGTATTTAAAAACAAAAGTAAGAAATATATATACGAATCTATTCTCGTAACTTGTATCTCATATTACTGGCATTTTATTAACGCCCATACATTCACCATTATTGGTTTAAAAATTCTTTTTTTTTTTTGTTAGCTGTCTTCCCGATGCATTGATGGTTGGTAAAAGTTTCTCAATACGAGTAGTTTGTTTTACTTAATAGTAACGTAGTTTATTTTTTTAATAATTCAATTCCTAATTATTAAAGATTGATACTTTCTTTTACTTTTTAACCGACTTTCAAAAAGGAGGAGGTTCTCAATTCGTCGGAATCTTTTTTTTTAATGTATGTACACCGATTACTCGAAAACGCCTGAACCGATTTAGATTTTTTTTTGTTTTAAAGGTTATACTTACCAGGTAGTCCCGTTTAAATTTTATCGAAATCGGTTAAGCAGTGTTTTAAAAAATCAAAAATATTTTTTTTAATTAAATTCTTTAATCGAATATGTTATTAAAAAAACTTTTAAACTAACTTTGTAGTTATTTTTTACATTTTAATGCCTAAAAGTCGTTTTTTTTTAGTTTTTATATCTTTACAATTAGACTTTTATTATACCTATTTATCTAGCAATGTATGTATTATGTTTTACATATATTATCATCATCATACATCATACAATACTGATCATAACAAAAATATAATAACTAAACAAAAGTTATAAAATAAAACCACGATAAAATCCGAAAACAATTTAAATTAAAATTTCAAATATTCGCATAAATCTAAGAAAATATTACAATATTATGTAATTCTTTTTTATGTCTAGTATAGATTTCTCAGAGATAAGACGTTTTCCCGCAGTAAATAGGATCTTATATGTTGACCCGGATAACCAGCTATTATCATACCAAATTTCATCGAAATCTGTCCAGTGGTTTTCTCGTGATGTGTTCTCAGACAGACAGACAGATAAAAATTCTAAAAACTATAGATTCAGCCTCTGTGTCGATAATAATGACTATTTCAATGAGATTTTCCAAAAAATATTTTATGTACAGATTAGACTCAGAATTTTATTATGTATATGTATAGATACATTTTAAGTGACTTTATCTGTAAGATACCGCTGGTCCCACGCTTTAGTAAGAAAAGAGAGTTGAAGTTAGAACTTACTAGTAGATAAATTCGATTGAATAAAGATCTTATCAAAATTAGACCAGCTATTTGAGTGGTGATTAATAATAATAAAAAGGATGTGGATGAGGGGTTGATGTCAGGCAGGCAGCCGGTCATATAACTTTTGCCAAATCCTATCAGCAGTATCTATCAATAGATGATGAAATAAAATCTATTTAAAAACATAACAAAATAATTTTTGAACGCCTGTAACGTCTGAAACTCCTCAAAACGAATCAAAATGAGCTCATTCTCTAAGATTTTGCTTGCTTTTGTAGAGTTCTACTATACACTTCCTGGTTACATGATGAGATAAATAAAGAAAATATTTTTGAAATAAACACCAGTTTATGGTAAAAATAAAAAATTTTACAAAAAAAAAATATATTGTAAAAATAATAAACTTTGACGACACTGAGAGCTTTATAATTGAAAGCTTTATAACTAAGCTATTAAACTTTAAATATTAAGTGCTTTTGAAATATCACGTATCAAGCCTTAACAGGAACAATTTATTTCCATACCTATATTGTAAATAAGACGGAACTATGCATGTTTTTATAACCATAATATTATTTTAACAAATATTTTTATTTTGTATTCAGCCCTTTTTAACGTCCTACTGCTGGACACGGGCCTCCCTTCAGTACGAGGGGGATCAGGCCATAATCCACCACGCTGGCCAAGTGCTGGTTGGCGGACTTCACATGACTTTCAAAAACTTCTCTCAGACTTACAGGTTTCCTCACGATGTCTTCCTTCACCATAATACAAGTGTATAGAATGAAATAATTTAAAATATTTTTTGCCTCTTAGCCTAAGGTAATATATAACAATTTAATCATATTGAATATCGAATGACGCTGACCCTATCGAACTCCGGCTATTAATCTATGAATAACATTACAGATTATTAATTAAATACAATGAATATATATGTATTTTATATTTTATACTAGCATTGCCCGCGGCTCCGCCCGCTTTCAGATGACCAAAAACCAAATTCTTAGGTTTTACATATTAGTATACTCTTACAATGCAGTTTTTGTATTTTTTCTCAGAAATGAGATATTTTCCCGCGGTATAAAAATCCTATATGTTGATCTGGATAACCAGCTATCACCATATCAAATTTCATCAAAATCACTCCAGTGCTTTTTCTGTGATCCGGTAACAGACAAACAGACAGACAGACAGACAAAAATTCTAAAAATTATAGATTTGGTCTTTGTAACGATAATAATGTTTATTTCAATAAGATTTTCCAAAAAATATTTAATGTACAAATTCGGCTTAGTTACAATTTTATTTTATGTATAGATAACAAGTCATATCTTGCGTAGTATTTTAAAATTTGTTATACTAGAGACTTAACATTGTTTCGCTCGGGTGCGTACCCAGCTGTTAGCGGCTTAATATCAAACATATATATACCTATATTTTTTATATTTATACATATAATAAAATTGTAACTGATGGATGATCGCTGTCTGTCAAATGGAATGGAAGATATTAAAGAAAAATTATGATTCTTCGGGTCTTTATTCACGCAAACTCAAAACAATGATTTTTAGTATTTTTTACTATTTGTCTGTGCGTTTGTGCGCGCTAATCTCAGAAACTCTCGGCTCGGTCGATTCGATTCATAAGCGAAAAAAGTTATGCCAATTAAAAGAATCAAATATAATAAACCTAATGGAATGCATCAGCATGAATAGTATTACCCTTTTTTATCGTTGTAAATGCATTTATGCGTACCACCTTACGCTTTGACATAAAATAAATAATAAATATGTCAGGACACTAACACAACACCATCTAGTTCCATGGTAAGCTACGAGGCTTGTGTTGTGGATACCAGATACATAGTTGATACATTATACATATATAACTTTAAATTCATACATATTATAAATATAAACATCCATGACTGGAGTACAAACATTCGTGCTCATCACACAAATGAATGCCCCCCAGCGGGACTCGAACCTGCGACCGCTGGCGCAGCAAGTAGGGTCATTACAAACTGAGCCAAACGTGTCGCCAAACATTGAAAAATAGTTTGTTTCTTGTGTGTAGTAAGGTGAGACTCACCAGCTAGAAAAGCCAGTACTACCCACTAAAACTCAGCGGAACTTCCCATAGTGTTGAACTCCGAGAAGAGGGTCAAAGGTGAGGTAGAGCTGAGTCACTCATACTAAGATGAACGAGGCTCTACTACATAAAATAAATCGAAGTCCTTAGTGCCGTGACCATGATGAACGCACTCGAAACGTCGAGAACCAAAATGATGCTAACTCTACCTGACTCCGACTATTTAAAAATCATTATTTGATTCGCGGAAAATCTGAAAGAAATAGTTTTATTAAAAATATTAATAATACAATTTGTGAGTCAGATAACAATTTGTGAAATTCTCCAGAATTTAATGTCATATTTTCCTATTTTGGAAATCGATTCCGCTATATCCGCCTTATATTCTATGACACTAAAATCGGAACAAACTTGACTTTGTAATATATTCTGAACTCCATACATACGAATATGATAATGGGAAGTAGAAAGTTGTACATATTCTTGACACTGGAAGCAATAGACGGATTGTAGTAATAAATGATCTGACAAAATCATTGAGTGGACGTTGAATGGAGGAGCTTATTCAATTGGATTTGAACCCATATTTGTCATGATTATTGTTATAGTTATTAGACCATGACTTTACTTACGTATTACGTAAGTTTTCATTCATTTTCTTATATTTAGTGAATAAATATGAAATACTGGCGGCCCACCCTCGTTCCTCGCTCGCTCGCTAGGTTTCGTCGCTAGTGAAAAATAAAAACGAATTTGTCCCACGGGAACCGTACACTTTTCCGGGAAAAAATATTGTATAATAAAAGTATTGCCTAAATGCTATTCCAAACTATAACCTATCTTTGTGCCAAATTTCATCCAGATCCGTTCAGCTGTTCTGGCGTGATTGAGTAACAAAGACCCATCCATCCAAACTTTCGCGTTTGTATAGTAGTAAAATTCATGGATGATGATTTGATGCTTCTACGCCAACCGTTACTGTTGCTGTTACTGTTAGCCTACATCATCCCACTGCTGGGCAAAGGCCTCCTCTCTGCGCTTACACTAATAATATTTATAGGTAAATAATAAATGCATTTATGTGTTTTTGTTAAATATTTATTCACATCAGTAGTAAAATGGACGATTATATTATAAATAATATGTAAGATAAAAGTAAACAACAGCTTCGATATTGAAAAATATGTAGTTTGTTTCTTGTTTGCTTATTATCACGTATTATTCACTGTAAGGAGAATAGAGAAAACATATTATGTACTTTCTACATACATAGTTAATATACCTAAATATGTACCCCTTACGGAAATCAAACCCCGTCTTACGTCGAAATCAGTTCAATTATATATTTATCAGGCCACATGGACATATCTTTCCTTTCCAGGGTACCACAGAGAGAGTACAATGTGAATCATAGAAATTCTTAGGTAAGTACTTTTTTACATCATTAAGAAAAGGTTACAGATGGGCTTCCCCTAGATGTTCTTTAAAAGTTAAGTTATAATTGGTCTTATTCTTGTTCGTTTAAAATAAACATTTCTTACTGGTTAAGCATTTTTGTCTTAAAACTTTATTGATTTAAAAATAGTGCTTGAAATGGTTTTTGTATGGAGGCAGTTTAAAATTAAACTTTAACAAGATACAAACTGTAATAAACAAAAATATACGATTCGAATTCAGAACGCACGTCATGAGTATTAAGTTTTTAGTTTATTATCTATATATAAATAGGCAAACACAAAGTCCAATGCATTTTTCTTCTGTGTTTGTCAAAAAAAAATCTTTTTTTTTGTTTAATAGCAATAGCTATTAAACAAAAAAAAAGATTTCAAAAAAAGATTTCAAATTTGTTCGTCAATAGACGAGCATTAACAATTAAAATTCTGTGAAACAGTTTTAAATTTTTTGTTTATTTTAAGTAAATTCTATTATAATATCTATCTAAATCTAAATTCTATTATTTCGTATATTTTTTCCATAATTGTCCAATTTTAACCACTAGACGAATATCGAATTTAGAAAAGATGACTTAAAAATCATACCTAATCATTAGATATAGATCGTCCTATTGCTAATTGGTACATATATAATAAACATAATAAGATGCACTTCAAAGAAATACAGTCAAACTGAAAAAAAATTAAATAAAGTAGGCTTATAATTCATGTTTCAATTATATTACTTCATACATTTTTTACTCATTAATTGCTTTACTTTACTTTATAATATCTATTTTTTTAATGTGTCCATATTTAAAAAAAAATACAAAATTAAAAAAAAACAAATGCCTTGTATAAAATACTCTTAAACAATTAAAATATCACGAATCAATAAACTTTGATGAGTTTTACCTGGCTTAATTAAAATATTATATTTAAATCGAATTTTTGTGCTTGAACTTGAATGCGTTCATCCCATTGGTATGCAGAGGTCTATTATAAGATGAGATTTCGAAATTTCGACTTTATTACCATGTGTTAAGGAAAATTTATGGTTAATTTAAGTATTTTCGGACGTAAATTCATCTTGGCTAGATGTCCTGAGCACGTTTTTTAGATGAGTATTGTATCGGTATAAAAAGCAAAAGTGTAATCTCGAATGTATCAGTACGAGTGATTCCATCAGTGTAGCAGCTTCCTTATCCTGGTGATACAATGAATCTGGTAATTTCTTTGTGATCTGTAAAATAGAAATCTAGTTTGATAGTTTTAATTTTTTTACGAAATAAAGGAAATGATTTAAATTTTTTTCGACACATACAAAATATTTAATTGGTTTACTTTTTAATATTCCATATATGACATTTCAATATATTAATTCGAAATATATAAATAAAGTTATAATAAAAATAATATTCCTGTAACATAAAATATATATTTGATTCTTTACATATTATGTAAATAGTATTATACTTCGTTAATAACATTTTTTACGGCAGTTGAAGGTCTATTAAATAATAACGATGTGATTCATTTGCAGATCATTTTCGCCGCTTTAATAGCGGCTGGTGGGGCCGCGAAGTTAGACCATTCGTACCTACCTCCAGCATTCGCTGCAACTGCTGGAGGTAGTGCTGGAAACCTACAACTACCATTCTCGAGATCAAATCAAGTTTCTCAAGGAGTACCGGCCGGAGGATTTTTTAATGATCATCAAGGAGTTGTAGTGGACGCTGCACCTGCTGTAGCAGGAGTAAGAGCCTCAAACCAGCAAAGCGGCTTAGGAGCCCCTAGGATCTCGTACGGATCCACAGAATCCAAAGTAGGAGACGCTGCATTTAGAGTGACTGCCCAGAATCAAGGATTTTTGAATGAATTTGGAGAACCTGATTTATCAGCCTTCCATAAACCACCATCTTCATCTTCTTCATCATCAGGACATTTACAAATAATAAGAGACCCGTCTCATACACTTAATTACCAAAACGTTATAGGTATAGATAAATTTAATTATGGTTTCGAAACAAATAACGGAATAAAAGTAGCACAAAATGGGATTGATATGAATGGTGTTCAATCACAAGGCGCATTTTCATATTTTGGTGACGATGGAAAACAATACAGTGTGTCTTATACTGCGGACAAAAATGGATATCGGCCTCAAGGAAGCCATCTGCCAACCCCACCTCCGATTCCTCCAGAAATATTGTTATCCTTGGAACGGAATGCTAAGGATGAAGCAGCTGGTATTATTGATGATGGTAAGTTATCATTTTAAATGTAACTATTAGTTTCTACTTGCGGTTCCTCTCTTGTGTGTTCTTTCTTTTCTTTCAACGTTCTTGGACATTGATATTTAGTAATAAGTTTTGAAGTAAAGTCCTGTGAAAATGACATTAAATTTTTTCAATTATATCAAAGCGACTTGTTTACGCGATAAAATTATCCTTTGTATTACTGTAGGATATGTATCAGTACGCTAAGTTCCATCAAAATTCTCTTAATAGTTTGTGCGTGATTAAGAAAACATATCCAAAAAATTATTCATACCTACCTAATCTTTGTCATGATACGTAAATAATATTACAAGTGTAATGAATGGTAGGAATATATTTCAAATTTGAAAGGGCTTCAAAATGCATAAAAATCATTAATTTTGAAACTTTTTTATATCATTATATTTATTTTCATTAGTTTTTAATTCAATTAAAACAGGTCGTAGTTACTCGTTTTTCTTAGACTATTAACAACGTCTAACTTATATATCTTGGGCAAAGCTTTCCTTTGAGCGTATGTTAGGGATTTATTTATCTTATTAATAGCTAGTATAGTATTATACGATTTATGTTAATGATTTCCATCCACTGCTCTATTTGCATAGTAGATTGATAAAAAACCTAGGTAACCTATCTATTATCCCAGAACTGTCCCATTCTGATTTTTACTTACATAAATTCCTTGAATTGTTACATATTCACAAACTTTCGCATTTAATATAAATACTAGGGACTCACCCTCGCTTCGCTCGGGATCGTCTCTGCTTTCGTGATAACATTTAGTATAGATCAGAGAGAAGATATTTTCCCGCAGTAAAAAGTATCCTATATGTTGATCCGGAAAACCATCTATCATCATAATATTAATCACTTCAGTGATTTTTCCATGAAGTATGAAAAATATTTTATGTACAGATTATATTTTATAATTATTATTAATAAATAGTATACATTATTACCCACAATATTCGAAATAACTAATTCACAAGTTATGTGCTATGGTATTATATTCTGATGAAATTAATTGAAGTATATTTCATTTACGGATTGGATATCTATTTATATAAAAGAAATTCGCGTTAGTTACACCACTTATACAAGTAAGTTATAACTCAAGTACGCCTGGACCGATTTTGATGATCTTTGCTTTGTTGGATTTGTCTCCGCCCGAATAACAGAATGACTGTTAAAATAATGTAAAAAAAAAAATACATGGCTAACGCTGGCTAATAACTGTTTATATCTATTTAAAACGTATCTAGGGACGCACCTGAGCGAGGCGAGGGAAACTCGCTCGTTATATATAGATATTTTATAATTGTAACACAATAATATATTTTTAATTACCTTTCGAACCTACCTTTCGAAGTAATGCAAGTAAAATTAAGCTATTTGATCAGATCATTGATTTTTCAAAACATTCAACTCAAATTTCTAACTGTTTTACTAAACTTAGATATAATTTAATCAGTTTATTAAATATTCGTTCAGTTTCTTCATCTATCCATTGATTTGATTTCAATACCGCCGCCACAATCACGATACCAACATTAGAATACACCATATCGTTATAAAATCGTTTATCGTTTTTAAAATCTTTGCTTTAAATGCTTCGATTGAAACTAAATTATATATACATATATAGCTGTTGAAGTATTTGTTTGAAATTAAAACTATATTTTTGGATTGTTTTGCGAATTTATAATGATTTTTAGTTTTCAACGTTTCTAATGCTTTACAGCAACCATGGTCACGGGACAGGCTAAGATTTTAGGCGTCTCAAAGGGCATTATGCATTATTTTTACATACAGTGCCCACTTACAAAATTATATATTTGATTATGACAGTACCTTACCATATTTGTTAATTTTTAATTTTAAACAATTTTAATAAGTTATGTAATTGATTTTTTTAATTATTATAATTAAAAATTAATTAATTATTACAATTAAAAAAAATTAAGCAATATTATTCCTCATTGTATAATAGAAAAAATAAAAAAGGATCAATTTAGTTTGCAAATTAAAATTAAATTAATTATTAAAAAAAGTAATTCGAATGAAATTAATAATTGACAAACGGTAAAATAAAATACTTAGAAGCAAACTAGAATCTTTCTACTAGTTAAAATAAAATGATCAATAACTATATGAACGGCTTAACGAGATCTCAAAAGTGGTTAAGGTTATTAACCTTTGTTTAACGATTCAATGTACTGCTATTCGTAAATGTTGCATTATTCTATAAAATGACAATGGAGGATCTTATAACGAACGATGCTAGGTTTTTTATTAAATATAAATTTTTAATGAAATCTAAAAGTCGCTAATATTGTACAGCGACTAGGAGAACCCGCGGCTACGCTCTCGTTTAATAAACAAAAAAAAATCTCTTTGGTTTTATGTTATACAGGTTTTATATTTATATAATATTGCTCATACAAAAATAGTCAAATCGCTATAAAAAATAGGGGGTGGGGGTAGGAGGGTGAAAAATACTTTGCAGCCTATTCTCAGTATTAATGTACAAATTCAGATTAGTTACCACTTTATTATATCTATACATATAATAAAATTGTACCTAAGCCGAATCTGTACATTAAATATATTTTGGAAAATCTTATTGAAATAGACATTATTATCGATACAGAGGCCGAATCTATAGTTTTTAGAATGTTTGTCTGTTTTTCGGTCGGTCTGTCTGTCTGTTACCACATCACGGAAAAACCACTGGAGGAATTTTGATAAAATTTGGTATGATGATAGCTGGTTATCCGGGTCAACATAAAGGATACTTTTTATTGCGGGAAAATATCTCATTTCTGAGAAATCTATACTAAACGTTAAAATGTTATTAGGGACGAACCCGAGCGGAGCGAGGGTGAGTTGCTAGTGTATAGATAAATTAGAATAATAATAAGTTTATAATTGAGTTAGCACTAGCAAGGGAAAACGTATCAAACATATAGAAAAATGTGCGAACGTTTCTAACTTGCGCAAAAAACATTGCAAAAGTAAAAAATAATAAATTTTACCACAAAAAACTTTATTTTTGACAAATGACTCAAAAACTATTAACGTTAAGAATATCCACGAATTTAGTGATTCCTAAATAAAAGAAGCCAACTATTTTTTTCATAATTAATTAATTACACTTTTTATTTAATTCATAAAAATAAATTTTATTTAAAATATGTTAAAGTTTAATTTACAACTAGCATTACCTGAGACTCAGCCTGCGTTCAGATGACCAAAAACCAAATTATTAGATTTTACATATAGTATACTCTTACATTGCAGTTTTTGTATTTTTTCTCAGAAATGAAATATTTTCCCGCGGTAAATAGTATCCTATATGTTGACTCGGATAACCAACTATCATCATACCAAATTTCATCAAAATCCCTCCAGTGGTTTTTCTGTGATGCGGTAACAGACAGACAGACAAAAATTCTAAAAACTATAGATTCGGCCTCTGTATCGATAATAATGTCTATTTCAATAAGATTTTCCAAAAAATATTTAATGTACAGGTTCGGCTTAGTTACAATTTTATTATATGTACCTATAGATATGCAAATTTCAGTTTGTTTAGTGCCGTGATGTTATGTTTTTAAAGCGAGCTTTGCAAATTTAACGACTACATACCATGAAAATACGGATTTTTAAATTTAATTACAACAAAATATGATACGATGTATCTATATACATATAAATAAGTAAAGGCAGGCAGTTCAGTACCCTTTACTCCTCTGCTTGTTAACCGATTTCCTTTATATTTTTATTTTTTTTTGTTTTATAGCTATTAAGGAGTTTTAGTGTTATCAAAAAAGTTTTTTTTACGTAGTAAATTCTATTCATATATGTTTTTTTGGGATATTAACACGCATCACCATATAGTTCCATGGTAAGCTACGAGGCTTGAGTTATGGATACCAGATAGTTGATACAGTTTACACATGTGTAAATTTAAATACATATGTACATATAATAAATATAAACACCTATTAGTGGAACACAAACATTCATGCTCATCACACAAATGAATGTCCCCAGCGGGAATCGAACCCGCAATTGCAGGCACAGCAAGTAGGGTCACTACAAACTGAGCCAAACGTGTCGTTAATATGTTGTCCTCAAATTTTCTATAATGACTATGATCAAATTTCGACCACTGGTCGAATACTCAATAAATGCTCAAAACACAATATAATCTCAAGAAAATGAGGGATAGTATATTATATCACTTTCAATCTCATAATTGTAAAATAAAAGCTCCTTAATTAAGTGTTCTTTGTGAGCTTTTTGCAACTATAATTAGGGTTCCGCACCCAAAGTGTAAAACGGGATCCTATTACTGAGACTCCGCTGTCCGTCCATCTGTCTGTCTCTCCGTCTGTCACCAGGCTGTATCTCATCAACCGTGATAGTTAAACAGTTGTAATTTTCGCAGATGATGTATTTTTGTTGCCGCTATAACAACAGATACTAAAAAACAGAATTAATATTTTAAGGGGGCTCCCATACAACAGACATTATTTTTTTTGCCGTTTTTATAGATAATGGTACGGAACCCTTCGTGCGCGAGTCCGACTTGCGCTTGGCCGGTTTTTAAGCTACTCTTTGCACGTTTCAATTCCCAACTTTGTGTTGCAATATCTCACAACAATCATATAAAAATATGTTTATAAATAAAACAAATAAAGTTTTTGAATACATACAAACACACAGTATGACCACATTATTTTATTGTACACACGCTTGTTAAAATTTTTATTCGTAGGTAGCCATTAAAATTAACAGCACGTTAACGAGCTTCCAATTAAAAGCTGTAATTCTGCGTTAAAATAAATGTAAATTAGTCGTTACATTCAATAAAATTTTAAAACAATGATTATCACTTATTTTAATTATTGTTTTGAATACAAAATTTGTTGATAAATACCGATGACATTGAACTTGAATTCGGTCAACGCAAAAGTGGTCCAAGATCAATTTAAAAATGAACTTTCGACTAGACATGCTCAGGTGACAGATTATATATATATATATCCATACAAATTTGTATATATTATATATGCTGCTACCTATAAAGAATTCTTGTGTAAATTTTATAATTTTATTTTTATTTTAAATTTTATTTTTTATATATTTTTAAACGTTAAACTTATTTATTCAATTTATATAAACATAGTCATAAGATATAAAGTTTTTAGAAAATAAATATATTTAAACACTAGGCATTGCCCGCGACTCCGCCCGCGTTCAGATGACCAAAAACTAAATTCTTAGGTTTTACATATTAGTATACTCTTACAATGCAGTTTTTGTATTTTTTCTCAGAAATGAGATATTTTCCTGCGATAAAAAGTATCCTATATGTTGACCCGGATAACCAACTATCATCATACTCAATTTCATCAAAATCCCTTTAGTGGTTTTTCTGTGATGCGGTAACAGACAGATAGACAGACAGACAAACATTCTGAAAACTATAGATTCGGCCTCTGTATCGATAATAATGTTTATTTCAATAAGATTTTCCAAAATATATTTAATCTATAGATTCGGCTTAGTTACAATTTTATTATATGTACAGATATTGTTATAATATAATCTATTAATTAAATAAAATTTTAACTGAGTCGAATCTGTACATTAAATATGTTTTTGGAAAATCTTATTAAAATAGTAATTAATAATAATAATTATTATTACCGATACAGAAGGTTACGGGTTTAAGAATTTTTGTATGTCTGTCTGTCTTTCTTGGAACGCATCACGAGGAAGCCACTGGACAGATTTTGATGAAATTTGGTATGATTATAGCTGGTTATCCGGGTCAACATATAAGATAGGAAAGGTAGGTATTTTTACTGCAGAAAAATATCTCATCTCTGAGAAATCTATACTAACCGTTAAAATGTAAAGGGACGAACCCAAGCGGAGCGAGGGTGAGGCGCTAGTTTATTTAATAAATACCATAAAAATTACCTTGAACGGTTCTAGCGTTAAATGATTCTGACTTCTTATAGAAGAGTGCTAGGTATAATAAATACATATATCATGTAGATTAAAAATTTTCGCGATTTGTTTTTATTAAAAAAAATATTTAAAATATTTATTTATGGTCGGTACGATCGTGATATTTCAACGTCACTATTAAAATCATGATGGACGAAGTCAAGGGCAAAGCTAGTGAAGGAAAAGTAGATACATGTTGATGACAAGTTAACCTTGCTTACAAAAACAAGTGCCTTTAAATTTTTTGAAAGTTAATTAAATATATCAAAAATAATCCAAACAGGTATTTAGTTCCGTGTTTATTTCGATTGCAGTAAACTTCACTCACAGTTTTATTATAATTTACGATTCTTTTTATAACATAAGTATTTTTTTTCGAAATTCGAACATAATCATTTTTTTTATTAATAACTCTAAAGATCGTCAATGGCTACTAAACACAGAAAACAGAAAATCGGTTGACAATCACAGGAGATAAAGGTACTGAACTGTTTCTTTCTTGTCTATGTATACTAATATCATAAAGAGGAAAAAATTTTTTTGTTCGTACTGAATAAGCTCCGAAACTACTGAATTTTACTAGTACATATTTTTGAAGTAAAAACTTTTTTAGCCGCGTTGAGCGATTTTAGGTAAGAGCAAACTTATGGCTTCGCGTCACCAACATGTTACGTGTGACCTGAGACGCGTCGACGCAGTCTGGCGCAGACTAGCGACGTCAGACTTTTTGATTAATAAATAAACTATATCAAAATGTAAATAATTACTGCTCGGAGTGCTAATAGATGTGCAAACCAGACTAATAATAATTTCAATTTACAAATTAAGAAATTTTAATTATTCATATCATAATTAATTTAAAAATTAAAAAAACACAGTTATTCCAAAGGTATATAGGTTTTCACTTCTGTTGGCAGTCCCTATGACTGCCTATTGAATTTTTTATTTAATATTAAAAAAATAATAAGTAAGTAAAAAAAATCTAAATTGAAATCAAAGATGTAAATGTACCTAGGTACTTAAAATGTTTAATTTAAAATTGACAGAGGCAATGAACTAATACTAGGTGTATGGATGCTTGTTACTCTTTCACGCAAAAACTACTGAATGGATTTTAATGAAATTTTGCAGTAATATAGCTAATACATCAAAATGACACACAGGCAACTTTTTATCCCGGAAAAATGTACGGTTCCCGTTGGATAGAATTGTTTTTGTTTTTCTAAAGGCGAACCCTAGCAAAGACTAGGTGAGTGGCTAGTCATAAAATATAATAACATAATCGTCAATTTGTGGATATTTTATTCAAAGTTACACTTTATTATAGATAATATTTTTTTGCATTGATATATTATGCATATTGCCTCACTAATATTATAAATGATAAAATGATGTGTGTTGCTTTATCGGAATATTCTCTTCATTAAATGGATAGATTCTCAAACATAAGACAAATGGTCACCCTTTTAAAAATAATTCGCGCATTAGAGGTGCCAAACCAAGGATTTGAACCTGTGTCACTTGGTTTTCCCAAACTGGCATGTTACCACTGGGCTACCACTGCTCTGGCTGACGCCTGATCCTTGTATTTAGTAATATTAGTAAGCTCTTTTTTACATTTGTATATTCCACAAACATAAAAATATTCAATTTTACAAAGTCCCATACTCTGTCCTTTGTATATAATTTGTATTAAAATAATGCTTTTTACCACAATAAAAAAAGAATGTATATCATTAATATTTGAAATAAATATTTAAGAAAAAACCAATAAAACAAAGCAATCATATAATAATTTAGTAAATACTTACGAAATAATGCCTTTTGTTTTGCCTAAGCATATTGCATTCACACAATCCATCAAATTAACTTAAAGCCTATTGTGTGCATTGATATATGTTTTGCTGACTGATAAATAGTTTAGAGGCGGTGACAAATGACTGACAACTTTCATTTTCTATTTACAGGCTCGTACGATGCTCGAAAATACAATGCAGAAGGCGATTACACAAAAAATGAAGCTAATGATAAATATAATGATAGACAATCGAATAAATTCGGTAATCGACCCGTATTTGATAGTGGATTCATTAATCAAAATCAACAAGCCTTTGTAATACCGAACTTTAATGGACAATTTGTTTATAATACTGCTTCCAAGGATTCGATGTTTTCGAAACCTGATTCATCTGGATTCGGAAGCAGTTTAATACAAAGCGATAGTAGATTTGGTTCTAGCAATGAACCTTCTAAGACGAATGTACATTTTCATGATAATATGAAAGAAAAGGATAATCAAACTCCATTTTCTTTAATTAACATAATGGGAACAAATTATTCTCCTAAAACACTGTCGCAGCAAAACTTACAAGCACAAAGTTTTCAAAAGCCATCTTTTATTAGACCAAGTTCATACGATGTTTCGTATGACGGTTTACCAATTTCCCCGCAATCAAATTCCTTACAATCGTCTAGTCAATTAAATCAAGAATATGTAAATAGTTTTGGAAATGGAAATAGAGTTTCATCTAGTTTTGGTCAGACTTACGAAAATAAGCCATCTCAAGGACCTTTTGATTCAGACTCATTATCAAATCAACAAATATTAAATAATCAACAAAGTTTAAATAATAAAAAAACATATTTTCAAAATACTTTAAGTAGCTCATTAATGTCTGGTCAACCTTCAAATGGATATTTTGGAAGTCAAGCAACTCAACAATTTCCTTCATCTCATCAAAATGACCGTTTACCAGAATCGACTGGTTCTTCATCATTCTCTAGTTCAAGCCAAAATATTGAGTATAGTCAAAACTCTAATGGATATAGTTCTAGTTTTCCAACCAAACAACCACAGATTACTTTGACAACACCTTTAGAATCTTTTGGTAAAGCCAATACTACTGAAATATCCACACAGACTGAGAATTTTAAGATAAAAGATTCAGATACTACAAAAATACCTGAAATATCATCCACCGATAAAGAAATTCAGGCTTTTACAGGTCAATCAACTGCAATTGGCGATTTTTCTACAAGTTATACTGGAACTTATTCATCTTCACTGGATTCAATGATCGATAAACTCTTTTCTCAGAATTTTGGCTTACAAGCAACCCAGGTATTAGAAAATAAACGACAAATGGCTCAAGCTTCACATTCACTCAATCAACCTAATGGTGCGGATTCCGCCACTAATACTCAGAGGCCAAGTAATGAAGGTAGTCAGTTTGTTCAACCACAGGCACATGATCATTCTTACTTATATAATCCACCTTCAAAACCTTTTAATGCACCCTCTACTATGCCAGGATTTAGCTTTTCTCGTGTCCCGTCAAGCCAGTTGAATAAAGTGACGCCACCTTTAAAACCTCAAAAAACAATTTTTACAAATACACCTCAAACTGCAATATTTTCTACACTTAATCAAGGTATTGGAGTGACTCAAGCAGCTATATCACCATTTCCTTCCACAATACCTATAGCTTCATCCGACTTAAAACAACCAACTCAATCTAACTCTAGGCCATCCCAAATAGCTTATTTAAATTCTCCAAGTGAATCTGCATTTTCGCAAGTTAGTCCAACATTAGCATCAGCTACAGATCAAATATCTACATTCCCAGATGATCAAAGAGTAAATAATTTTCAAGTGGTACAAGAAACGCAACCTCAAGATGAGAATCCAAACACATCAACACAACAAAATGCAGGAGAAACATATCAATATTCAAAACCCACCGAAGCTTTACCTACTGATAATCAAAAGCAAACTGAAAATATAGACTTAACTCAAAAACAGCAAGAACAATCTGGATTTTCTACTATACAATTATTTAGTCTACAAAGCTTAACAACTCCATTTGAAAAGCAAGATACTACTACAAATGATTTACCCACGTCGCCATTAGGAGGACAATTTGATTCTCCATCAAATCACCAGGGCTCGCAATTACATAGTGATAAGCCACAAATTGGTATGCAAGTTGGGTCCCAATTTAGCAATGCAGTTTTTAATAACAAAGGATCTTCATTCCCAGCATCAAACCCACATGCCCCATCCCAATTCAGTTTTAAACCAATTTCTTCAATTCCTGGTAAATTTCCGAATCAGCAATCTCAATTAGGCCAACAAAATTTTCCATCTTACTTTATTAAGCCAGAAAGCCAATCAATTCAATCTGAATCTCATTCTAAACCACAATTAGAACAAGATAATTTAGGTGAAAAAGAGCAATCAAGCCATAATTTAGAACCTCAATTTGGTATACCTGGTGTCTCACAAACTACATCTAACGGATTTAATAGCCAAAATTTAGTATCACAAATTGGACCGCAAAGTCCTACTAAAGGACCTTTTATTCAAGCCAATACAGAAGCTCAATTTAATAAATTCAATACACAAACACCTCAATTCAATACAAAGCAAAATACACAGCTTAACCAAGGAAACGTAAATAACAAAGAAGGAGCTAGTTTTCAGCATATTGGAACTCAATCTAGCTTTAAACCTTCAATGTATCTTCCTCCTTCATTTCAAGCTCAATCAGCTGGCTTTAATAGCCAAAAACCAATAGCTGAGTTTGGTCAGTCTAGTTTTCCAATTTCTTCCTTACCATCTACTCAGTTTGGAAATCAGCAAGAAAGTACAATATTTGAGTCAGGAATTTTTAATAACAAAGAAACTACAACTCCACAATTTCAAGAACCAAATCAACAATTTGGAACGGGTTTTGGGAATAATCCAACAACACCAATTTCAAGCTCATCTCAAACGCAATTTACTGGGCTTAACACACAAAGTACTATTCCTCAATTTGGTCAACCGACCACATCTAATTCAGGTGATTTATTAACTAACACACAATTTGGACAATATAGTAATCCGAAGACAACAACTTCCCAATTTGATATGGCTCAGCAATCTACGACCTTATTTAATGAGCCATCGACAATACCGCCAAGTACTTCAGAAACCCAAACTATCAAACAAAACTCAGACTTCGGAGAAATATATGATTACAAAAAACCCACCCAAGGATTCATTTCATCATCTAAAAACGAAGATAATTCTCAAATAAAACCACAATTTGGTGCACAATCTAGTACACAGTTTGGTCAACAAGATTTTCCTAGTACCCAAAAATTAAGGCCATCAGTATTTGTGCAACCTGCATCAGCTGTACAGTTTGGAGAAAGTACCATATCTACTTCAGGTCAATTCTCAACTAAAATACCTCTACAATCAACCCAGCTTAACATACAATTTGGACAATATAGTGATTCCAAGATAACAACTTCTCAGTTTGAAATAGGCCAACAATCTACGACCTCATTTAATGAGCCATCTACATTACCGCCAAATACTTTAGAAACACAAAACCCATCGCAAACTTCCGAGTTTGGGGAAATATATGATTACAAGAAGCCTGTTCAAGCATTCATTTCATCATCTCAAAAAGACGATAACTCTCAAATAAAGCCACAATTACAAATCGGTGGACAATCTAGTACACAGTTTGGTCAACAAGATTTATCTAGTACTCAAGAAGCAATACCGTCACAATTCATGCAACCCGCATCCACTATACAGTTTGGAGAAAATACTGTATCTACTTCAGGCTATTTATCAACTACTGCACCTTTACAGTCAACCCAGCTTAACACACAATTTGGACAATATAGTAATTCAAAAATAACAACTCCTCAGTTTGATATAGGCCAACAATCTACGACATCAATTAATGAACCATCCACAATACCGCCAAATACTCCAGAAACACACACAACTCTAACACTAAGTTCAGAGTCCGAAGAAATATATGATTATAAAAAACCTGCCCAAGGATTTATTTCACCATCTCAAAAAGAAGACAATTCTCAAATAAACCCAAATTCACAATTCGGCGCACAATCTACACAGTTTAGCCCGCAAGCTCCATCTAGTGCCCAAAAAGTAAGACCTTCACAAAATTTGCCATCTTCTTCTAGTTTCCCAGGCTCACAATTCAGTATATCTAGTTTTAATGAAAAAGATACAGTAACAACAGACGTAGATAAAACAGAATCTGTGACACCAGACAATTTTTCAACAAACCCAAGTACTCAAGAAATACAATACACAAGCATTTCACAAAATTCGGATGAAAATTTTAACGGTGAAATTTATAATTACCAAAAACCTGAACAAGGTTTGTCTTCTCCTTCAGACAAAGAAGGCAATATACTATTTGGTCAAAAAATACAAAAACCAATGGAAAGCTCTATTAGTAATAAAGAAAACTTCGAAAGAAATCCACAAACAACGTCCCAATTAGTCGAACCGACCACAACATTTAAACCATTTAATCAAGAAACAACCCTAAAGTCATTTGAATCTCGCCCACAATTATCTTTTCACAGAGCCTGTTGTGGGGGTTCTATATTCAATAAAAAACCTTTTAGTCAAAATAGCTTAGGTTCTTTAACCAATTCCTTTGATCAAAATAAAGATCCTATCAGTCAGAAAGAAACTCATATAGACCAATCTTCAGACAATAAAAAATTGGAATCAGAAAAAGGCAGTCAGTTTGTTGGAATCCCAGAACAATTTGGAGGACCAAGAAAACCTCCCACTTTTGATGAAACAGGATATCATTATTAGGCTATCATTTAAGATATTTCTTAGTAAACGTAAATAATGTTATATGATAAGTTCCAAGTGATAAATGTAATATAAGTATAGTTTGCGTTGCGGTAAATTATTTTGTAAATAATATGTAATAATAAATAATGTATTCATTTTGATCAAATAAAGAAAATGATCAAATGATTTTTGTATCTTTTCTATTAATAGAATAAAATACATACCTCATAGATATTTGTATTATTATTTAACCTTTGTGCAAGTACATATATGACTGCATTTCGATCTCTTGAATATTTTAATATAACAAACAAAATATGAGCAGACAGCGATCAGTTACAATTTTATTATATGTATATATATAATACTAGCAACTTATCCTTGCTTCGCTGTTGCTCCAGATCAGGTATCTGTATACTAAATTTAATCAAATCCGACAATCCGTTTTAGGTTGAAGGAAACACAAACACACATACATACTAATTTTACAATAGTACGTTTATGTGAGTATGTCATGTTATGTTGCAGATATTACCATGACCTTTTACTATGAATGAGCTATAAAAGGCAAAAAATACTTTCTTCTCTTTAACTAGTTCATTGTTCCAGAGATACTAGCGATAATATACTACACACATACAAACATAATAAACTCATCATTTTTATGTACACAATATACATAGAATAGATTCAAACTATAATATGCCTAACTTCGTCTTTGTAACACAAGTGGTCATGTGGGACTCATCGGCTAAAGAAGCCAGTACTACCAACTAAAACCCAACCATCTTCATCTTAATGGGGTGCTGCAGGATTATTAAAGCCCTCAACCGACGCCAAACCGCTGGTGACTTCTGAACGATAAAGGCTGCCTTCCGACCAAGCATCCCTTCGGCTAAACTTGACACATCACACAAATGAATGCCCCCAGCTGGATTCGAACCCGCGATCGCTGGCGCAAAAAGTAGGATCACTACAAACTGAGCCAAACGAGTCGTACATCATTATCTTCACGCTTTATTAAACTAATAATTAAAAATAAATAAATGTACATAACTGTGCATCCATTTAGTAAATATATATACATATCTAGATAGATACTACGAAGCATTTAATTGCGTAACAAGCACCTGTTATAATATAAATTTTGTCTATTCCTATTGATATTGTCCTCATTAGGAGCTTTCGTGATATCCTGTACGATTCCATTATACACGACGTCTCGGTTGTGTTGTAATTTTATCTTTTGCTAAATATTCCTTACATGTATAATATAAAGAATGGAATTGAATTGAAATACTGTTGTGAAGAATTTCAAACAATTCTGTTAAAGCTATACTAACTAGAGATAATAGCCGACTATTTTATGTATTATACTAGCGACTCACCCTCGCTCTGCTCGGGTTTGTCCCTTGGTACGTTTTAATGGTTAGTATAGATTTCTCAGAGATGAGATATTGTCCCGCAGTAAAAAGTATCCTATATGTTGATACGGATAACCAGCTATCATCTTACCAAATTTCATCAAAATCTGTCCAATGGTTTTCCCGTGATGCGCTCTCAGACAGACAGACAGACCAACAATTCTAAAAAGTATAGATTCGGCCTCTGTATCGATAATAATGATTATTTCAATAAGATTTTCCAAAAAATATTTAATGTACAGATTCGACTCATAGTTAGAATTTTATTGTATGTATTATGTATAGAAAAAGATAATATGTACATTCTATCTCTTGGAAAACGATTAGCGCCATTTATTGGCAAATCCATTTGTTATATTTGTTTGTTTGTTATTATTTACTTTGTTTTGTATAAAAACTTCGAATATTCTTTATATTTATAATATAATATGTAGATTTATCTATCTTTTGAAAAACGAAAACGAAAAAAATTACTAACAGGCCCACAGGCAGTTGAAATTTCTTTATTTAAATGATATAATAATATTATTAAATTTTAATATTCTGATATATGATATAAATTATATTTAAAGAATGAAAATGTAGTAAAGGAAAGACTAATCTTATCACTGACATGAAAAATAATGTATTTTAAATGTTAAAGACAGCAGAAATGTTCATAAAGTGTTAACAAACAAACATCTACACAAAGTTGCATATATATAAAAAATATTATGGGCTCTACTCACTATATATGTAATTTAGGTTAAATTAAGCGTTGATATATAAATGTCTCTTCCTGTATTGGATTAATGGAAAATCCACTAAGTACCTTTTAGTATGTATTTATTATAAGTTGTTGAAAGCTTAAATCACTAAAATAACATTAGTATACTAAAACCTTGATTTTATTTTTGAGTATATAAAATTTGCATTTACTATATTATGGACGACTGGTGACTGACCGGCTAGAAAAAAAAAGATACTAAAATTAAACAAGAAAAAGAAACAGACCGACACAGATAATAACCATGGGCTTGCTCTCATGGTCCACTCTGTTATCAGAGAAGTACCAGGAGCAACTGTACATCTCCTGAGACTGACTAAGGTGACCTCCCAGTGCGTATCTTGGCTTCACGTCTGGCTGCATTGCCGGAAACTACTGTTAAATTAAAAGGAACATCCACTTAAAAAGTAATAATTATTATTATTCTTAAATTGTAAAGTAAAAAAACATTATTAAACAACATTTTCTGTATGTATAGTATCACAGTTAAGTAGCTAATAAAAAAAATTAAAACCCTTTATTGTACACACAAAATTAAGGCAAAATAAAAACAACAAAACAGTACAGTAGGGGATCCCGTATCTATATGGTGAACCCCTTACTCTTTTTCAATCACTCTTCTCAATTAAAGCTACCCTGGAGCAAATTTTTGTTAACAGCCCCCTTGGATCGTGTTCGTTCATAATATGTTTTATGGTTTAAAAAATATATTTGGCCCGGAAAAAGAGGTAGGGTTCCACCACATAGATCGGGATCTTAGACTTGTAGTAAGATAATGCACAAGAGGCGATATTTTCGCTAAAACAGCGATATCTTCCAGGCAACCTTTAAGTGTAGGAAATAACAAAGTGTGTAGTGGAAAGATAACAGAGTTATAAATAAAATGGTACATACATATAATATTATATATAGTTTACACATAAAAATACATTAGGTATACCTAAATAAATGATATATTATAAGTTTTATAATGATATATTATAAAATGATAAATATTTTCATAATCTAATTCATCCTTTTACGTCTTCGCATGTTTTCAGTCCAGAAGAAAGGTCGCGGTCATAGAAATTACATTAACATATTGACATGCGATCACGATTTCGTGTGCAGCTTGACCTAACAGATTTTGCCACGTCACGAAACTAAATCAAATATTGCAAGACGTTTACTTTTCCAAAAATATATTTTAAGATGATTAGTTTTAACTTTGATCATTGTATTCTCCACTATGTACTATTATAAAGAGGAAAGATTTGAATTTTTGTATGTTTGTAACGTATAAACTCCGAAAATACTGGACCGATTTAGATGAAATTTGATTAGAAGATTTTTTGAGACCCTGGCAAGGAAATAGGATATTTTTATTCCGGAAATCATCTCTTAAAGGATTGAAAATATAGATGAAAGTTTGTATGAGGAATCAACCTAGTTGATAATAATAATATGTGTTTTATCAAATTTACATTAAAATACAAAATATGTTAAATATAACTAATATTATAAATGTGAAAGTAACTCTGCCTGTTACCTATTTATGCTTCTCGCTCAACAGATTTCGATAAAATTTGGCAAGGATATAGATTGCTTCCAGGACCATAGGCTAGCCTAATTTCGCTTATCACGCAAACGAAACGGGCAAAAGCTAGATATTAATAAAGTTTACTAATAACAAGCCTAATATCGACATCCTAAGTCTAATAACATCATCTTTTAATTCATTATTTATAGTTTTAATATAAGGTTTAATTTTAATCATCTATACTAAGATTATAAAGAGGAAAGTGTTTTTTGTTTGAAACTAACTTTCAGTAGTTCCAAACCGATTTAGATAAAATTTGGTAAGAAGGTAGTTGGTTGGAAGCACATAGGATAGTTCTTATCCCAGAAATCGCCTCTTAAAGGGATGAAAATAGGGATGAAAGTTTGTAAGGGGAATCAACCTAGGGACGAACCCGAGCTAAGCGAGGGTAAGTCGCTAGTTACGTATAAATATAAACTTACAATAATGAAATATGTGTTATTATATTTAAGTACATTTCCAAATCACACTCTATAAAAAATCTTTATCGTGCTATACATATTGCAATTAAAAATTCGTTTTATTGATGTTTCTTAAGTTATTTATATTGTTGCTATACATTTTTCTTTTTTATTATGTAAGTTTTTGTTTTACATATCGGACTACTACTATAATTGCGAAAGTTTGTATGTGTGTGTCCAATTTTTAGGGTTCCGTTGAAAAAAGGTAAAAACGGAATCTATATATAATCTCTCTCTAATGTATAAAACTTCTCGTGTCACAGTGTTTGTAACAAAACACCTCCGAACCAGCTTGACCGATTCTTATGAAATTTTGTGTGTATAGTCAGTAGGTTTGAGAAAAGAAAGAAAAATTAGGAAAAGAATCCGTAAACTATTTTTCATACCCCTAAATGATAAGGGTGGGCCACACTAGGGATGGACTCTATACCTACATATGTATAATACAAGTGTAACTGATCACTGTCTGTACATGGAAGATATTTGAGAAAAACTATTATGGGTGGTTTTTCTTAACGCAATAGAACCCAAAACAATGATTTTTAGAATTTTTGTCTGTTTGTCGGCTTGACTGTCTGCGTTTGTGCGCGCTAATCTCTAAAACGGCTTAACCAATTTGGGTGTGGTTTTCATTAAATTATTGTGGTAAGCTTTACTTAAAATTTAGTATTTGTTTTATTTCAATCGGTTTAATATATAAAAATCCTATGTAAATTTAAAGAATCACCTAGGAGCGAATCCGAGCGAAGCGAGGGTGAGTCGCTTGTATTATAATAAATAGGCAAAGACAAAACAGCTCAGTATCTTATTCTCTACTTTTTTTAAATTAGTAATTTTGACGAGCTTGTTATCAATAAAAAAATACGAGAACAATTTTTTTATACGTAATTATTAAGGTCTAATTTTGAACACTACGCAGCGCTAGTCCTTATAAGTACGTCTTACGTCTACCCGTACATTTTATTTCATTTATTTCATTTAATTCGTAGTAACAAAAATGGATACAAATATACTCCTTGATCTAGCAACAATTACTGTTTAACAAAACATTGGCAACGGAGTGCTGAGACGCACGCACTAGGATTATTCTACAATTTGAGCTAATCATGCTAAGCGCTCCTATATGAAGTAGGGTTTTCTTAGTTTGTTAAGAAGAAGAATAAATAAAACTATCTTTTCGGATTTTTTCGCGGATTTATTTGGATTTTTGGTTCCCGACCGTTTCGAAAGTTTTACAGCATTCATGGTCACGGGAGAGACTGAGGTGTTAGATGTTTCGAAGGTATAGTTGATACAGACAGCCTACCTACATATAAGTCCAAAAAAATCCGAAAAGATAGTTTTATTTAAAATGTCAAATATTCGTGTAAATCTAAGAAAGTATTAAGAAGAATAAAATACAAAACGCGAGCGAAACCACTGACTCTAACTAGTATTAAATACAGTAATGCCTTGCAGTTATGATGCAGCTATAAAATAAAGGGTTCAATGTTAAGATCAAGATTATTAAGCGAGATTAAGATTATATACTTGTATTTTTATGCTTTATTGAAATCGGCAATTTAGTCTCTGTGAAGGTTAGTATGATGAAATTATGTATCTTGCGAGCTTCTGTACCCACGAATATAGAAGGAAGTTGCGTGATGGGTCAAGCTCTAATCAATGAATGGGTAAAAATGTAATACACTGTTGCGTTATATACACTAATTCAATTTTATTGGAAAATTGCTTTAAAACTAGCCATTAAAGTACAGATTACTTCGCCAATGTCACGTAGGATGGAGACGACATAAGGGAGATGTCGTGTCGAATGGTCTTTCCATCGGAGTTTGACTGACAGGAACATAGAGCTATGTATAATATGGTTATTTTTTCACTATACTTGCGCACTATAATATATCATGGGCTGTAATTTTACAATTTAAAACGATTATTTTATATAAATTAAGGAAAATATACGAAAATTTTCTATTACCTTGTGTTCGCCAAATTTTCAAATCTATACTAATATATACTATTCTTTATTGCACTTAAAAAATCAATATTATATTCATAATCAATATATATTATAAAGCGAAAAAAAATGTTGTTTGTGTGTTTGTTTGTACCGAATAAACTCCGAAACTAGTTGACCGATTTAGATGAAATTTGGCAAAAAGATAGTTTGCGACCCTGAAAAGGTCATAGTTTTTATACCGAAAATCATCCCTTAAGGAGGTGAAAATGGGGATGAAAGTTTGTATGGGGAATCAACCTAGGGAGGAACCCAAGCGAAGCGAGGGTGAGTCGCTAGTTGTTTATAATCTTACTATGCAGAACTCACTTTAGTAATAATTGAATTTAACCAGTTCTCAAAGTATTATTTAAATTAAATTACAAATATTTGGAACAAAATTGTTAACAATTTTATTATTTAACTTTAACTTCTATAAAAGTACATAAATGCTTCTTATACAACGTCATTTTTAAAACAAACACCTTTAATATTAATTTAAAATACGCTGAGTATATCGTTATACTTTTTCAATACAAATAATTGGCAAGGTCGCACATTAGAATGAAAATTTTAAAATTCTTGAAATTTTATTAAACAGCTTTAAAAATATAACTAATTTACATAAATATATAATTATACTAGCGATTCACCCTCGGATTCGTCCCGAGATACGTTTTAACGATTAGCATAGATTTCGTAGAGATGAGACATTTTCCCTCAGTAAAAAGTCATAAATATTGACTCGGATAACCAGCTACTATCATACCAAATTTCACCATAATCTGTTCAGTGGTTTTCTCGTGATGCGTTCTCAGACAGACAAAAGTTCTAAAAACTATAGATTCAGCCTTTGTATCGATAATAATGTATATTTCAACAAGATTTTCCAAAAAAATATTTAATGTACAGATTTGACATTATCGGTTAGAATTTTATTATATGAATAGATATAGATAAAAAATATGTCTTCTTTATAATAACCAAAAATCTGATTTTTTGCTATTTTTTTAAGATTTTATTATTGCGCTATCGACAAGTGCTGCTTAAACAGTTTAAATTGAAGCAATAAAATATATGGCTAAAAGATACCCAGAGGAGCACCCAAGCAAAGGAAGGGTAAGTCGTTAGTTTTCAAATATTTTCCTTTAATCAGATTATCTATTCAGGCATTTTTCAATTCAATGCTTTAATGAAAGTGGTATCAGGCCATAGTCCAACACGCTGGCCAAGTGCGGGTTGGCAGACATTACTCACATCGTTGGTTTCACTTGATTTCCCAAGCACGCGTTACCACTTATCATATAAAAGAAAAAAATAAAGGCAAATAAAATACTAATCATTAGTGATTGTTTTTTTTTTTCAATCATAATAACGAGTTTGTTAAGTTTGAAGATATTTTTATTGAATGCGTCTATGTTATCAATAAAATCAGTTTTCCTTCACAATTCATAAGAAGATGTGTAATTTTGCTTGAAAACTGTTATGAAATAGTAATATTTTGGCGTTTATGTCATTTGACACATAACTGTAAACGACTCTAGTACAATAGCTTACAATTCGACTTTTCTACTTATTGCATTATGAAGCTATTAAATTATTTGTTGAAGTAAAACCACTGAATTGTGCAGCGATTTTATATGTTACTTGTAATAATAGAGTATATCAAAATGTACCTACAGTGAATATTACAAAGTATTGTTAAGTGTTTACAATCTATAGTTTTGCTAGACAGAGACAAAATATTATTTTTAGCTGATTTTTTGGTTTTATATCTCTTTTTCGCAAGACAAAATATTATTAACAAGGCGGAAATCGATCCTGTGAACTTTATTTCCCTAATGATACAAAAGTTCTCAGATAAACAAAAAAATATTCTCATTATTAATAAAGCATAAGAAAATCAAGTCATCAAACCTTTTAAAAGATGCCTTAAAAGTAAAAGTAATAGTTTTTTTATTATTATTCTTTAATTATTATCCGATTTTTATTATCTGTTGGCATTAAATGTCAATGTTGTGAGCTTACTAGCAGCAAGAGCTTACGAGCTTACGAGCAATCCATTTAAGAATTAATAATATTAATCCTATATTATATCGAATATAAAATACTAGCAGAACTCGCGCCTTCGCTCGCGCTTAAACTACAAAAAAACTCTAAAAAGGTAGTTTCATACAAAATTTCATCCCTTATATATATATATATATATATATATATATATATATATATATATATATATATATATCATCTCCCTTATAGGATGAATTTCAAAAAATGCTAAAACAAGTGTTTATTTAATTTAATTGAAGAGCATTAATACCAAGTTTCAAGTAATTCTGATTACAAATATTTTTTTGGATTGTATTATTACGAACTTTCCTGTACAAAGTAGATTATCCTCCGTGGTAAAAAGTAGCCTATGTCATTCTCCAGCGCTCCACACAAAAAATCACGCCATTACATCACTCCGTTTCGACGTGAAAGAAGGACAAACAAACAAACACAGTTTCACATTTATAATATTAGTATGGATTAGTGGGTAAATCATTCTCACAGCGCCTCGGAAAATAGGTCTCATTACTTAGAGGATAAGAGGATATAATTATATTGATTACTTGGACTTAGAATTAGAAACATTTCGATTAGACTAATTAAAAAAATACATAAAAATACTCTATATGTTTCAGAGCTAGGCTACCACATACATACATATATACATAAGCGGTGAACTTATATCCAAAAACCTTGTTTTGCAAAAGCTAAAAATGAAGACTTTAAAAACTACTGAATAGATTTTAATGAACCTTTACAATCATATAGCTTATACATCAGAATAGTACAAAGGCTAATAGGATACACTTGTTTTTGTTTTTCTAGAAGCGAACTCGAGCGGAGTGAGGGCTAGTAGGTAATACAGTAACAAAAAATGAGTTTTTGATCGAATTATGAACGAGTTTTGAGTCTTAGATTGAAATGAATGATGTTATTCAAGTCAGTCATGGGTGTTTATATTTATAATATGTATGTATTTAAAGTATATGTAGTGTATCAACTATCTGGTATCCATAACACAAGCTTTGTAGCTTACCATAGAACTAGATGGTGCTGTGTGTTAATGTCGCAACATATTTAAATTTATATTTAATTTTAATTTCAAAGAAGAGTAATGAACCCTCTAACAAGACTATCTATATCTGCAAAGCTCATAAATTATCATTATATCCACTAGGTATACACTATACATTTATATCAAACGTAATCTAAGCAGAAAGAGTCCAAAAGTATAATTTTAATGCATATTATAAGTTCAGCATAATGTAAAACCTTCTTCTCTTCAATAAAAATCATAAACATAAATTATTATTAAACAAAACTATTTGTTACTCACAAAAAAATCCATAAAATTTTATTTAACTCTTTCGAAATTAATTTATTCAGGTGTTTGAAGCGACGCTATTTATTCTTTAACATTAAAAGTTAAACTAAACTACCAAAGCACGGTAGATTGCCATTTTCAAGAAACTTTCACATAACATAAAATTATTTTAAATTAACTTTAAGCTTTCAATAAGATTAAATCAATCTTTCGTTAATCGGTTTTAATTGTAAAATATTACATATGTTTAGCATATTGCTAATATGTATACTGAACGAAAATCAACCAAACATATGAGACGGAAAAATTCAATGGCGATATAAATTTCATATATCATTTCCACTACAAACTTTCATCCCCATTTTTACTCTCTTAAGAGGTGATTTTTGGAATAAAAAGTATCCTATGTCCTTCCTAGGGTCTAAAACTATGTTCTTACCTAATTTCATCTAAATCGGTTCAGTAGATCCAGAGATTACCCCCTACAACGTCACAAACTCACAAAATTTACCTCTTTATAATATTAGTATACATAATGAGAGTAGAACGTGGTTAACCCAATCATAATTAAACTCAAAAGTCCATACTAATAATATAAATGCGAAAGTAACTTGCTTTAACCTTTCATGCTTAATTAGCTGAACAGATTTCGATGAAATTTTGCAAGGACATAGATCCTAGGATCGAACATAGGCTTCTCTTAACCCCACCCCGCTTATATGCAAGCGAAGCTGTAGGCAAAAACAAGTAAGTTATAAAGTAATAGGAATATAATAACTTATTGATATTTTTGTTAGGAGATATCCAAAGGCCTAGAGTGTAAGATTAGCAAGGAACAAGATATGGGTGCGTCATGAGTAGAATATTTAACTAGATATTCAAAATCAAAATATTGTTTATTCAAAAAGATACAAGAACTTTTGAAGCGTTTTTTTTTAAATTATATGTCAGTATGTAAGTCCGTGAGGAATCTACCACCGGCTCGGAAGGCAGTTCAATAAGCAGAACCTTTCAAGATGGTTAGTCTAGTTCAATTATAGCTTACATTGGTTTTTAAAACAAGGTCTTTAATAGACAGTTAATAAATTATTAAACGCAACAATTTTTTTATATTACCGTTATAATTAGAGCCTTTAAGCGATACCTTGAAGTATTGATACTTTAACTAGTGGATATCAGTGACTTTATCGACTTTATTTATAAGCACTGTTATATATACGTATAATAAAATTCAAACTGACTCGAATCTGTATGTTAAATATTTTTTAGAAAATCTCATTGAAATAGTCATTATTGTCGAAACAGAGGCCGAATCTATAGTTTTTGGAATTTTTGTTTGTCTGGCTGACTATCTGGGAACGAGAAAACCACTGGATAGAATTTGATGAAATTTTGCTTATCCGTGTATATATAGGATGATTTTAACTGCGGGAAAATATCTCATCTCTGAGAAATCTATACTAACTGTTATAACGCACCTAGAGGGATGAACACGAGCGAAGTGAGGGCGAGTCGCTAGTCTATATATAAATAGGCAAAGACAAAACAGTTCAGTAACTTTGTCTCATCTGTTGGCAAGCGATTTCCTTTTTTTTTTCTTTTTAGTAGCTATTGACGAGCGTAGATAAGTAATCTTATAGAGTACTAGCATTGCCCGCGGCTCCGCCCGCGTTCAGACGACAGAAAACCAAATTCTTAGGTTTTACATATTAGTATACTCTTACAATGCAGTTTTCGTATTTTTTCTCAGAAATGAGATATTTTCCCGCGGTAAAAAGTATCCTTTATGTTGACCTGGATAACCAGTTATCATCATACCAAATTTCATCAAAATCCCTCCAGTGATTTTCCCGTGATGCGGTAACAGACAGACAGATAGACAGACAGACAAAAATTCTAGAAACTATATATTTGGCCTCTGTATCGATAATAATGTCTATTTCAATAAGATTTTCCAAAAAATATTTCATGTACAGATTCGGTGTATGAATGTGTCGGATGTAATTTCTGTTCCAATTTAATGCACTTTTTATAACGGAGAACAGATAGAGGAGAGAAACGATCACCACTTTTTCCTAGATATATATCAAAATAAATATTACTAATGCTTACTGCAGGCGAGAATCGAATCTGAGACGTTAAATTACATGTTTCATTTTAAACACCCATATAATTAAATCTTATGGCGTTAGATAATAAATATTGCTTGAGGGAGTTTTGGCCTAAATGAAAAAATTAAGGACGAATTAAACTATAATACAACATCAATCATTATTTATGTGCTCACATTACAAAACACAAATATCTTAATGTAGATAATATAGCATAAGAAATCGAGATATTTTTCAAGAAATTTTTCGATTGCTTTAATACTTACATATTATGTATTTTAATGGGGTTCAAATGCATTTTTAACTTTTATATTCTAATAAAATCTGATGATGTGATGGGGTTCAAGTACATTTTTAAGTTGTTATATTTTGATTATACCGTCTGTTAGTGTAATAGAGCGAGCAATGTTTATAATAATACTTTACATATAAAAAGTTTCTTGTTGACATCGCCCAGTTCAAACAGCTGGACGAATCGAATTAGAATTTTTACATCGTATTCATATAATAACATAACTATTAAGAAATCTTTTTTATTTCAATCCATAAATGTGAAAAAAGTGGCAAAATTCTAAAGGGAAATCATATATATACTCGTAATATATAATATATATAAAACAAAGTCGGGTTAGTTACACTATTTATAACTCAAGAACGGCTGGACCGATTTCTATGATCTTTCATTTCTTGGATTGGTCTCCATCTCGAATAGCAGAATAACTATTAAAATACCGGAAAAATTCACGAAAAAATGTACATGGCTAACGCTGGATAATAACTATTTATATCTATTTAAAACGTACCTAGGGACGCATCCGAGTGAGGCGAGGGGAAGTCGCTTGTTTATAATAAAAGTAGTACAGTAAAAAAGGCTAGTTAGTATTTAATCATATGTATGTTTATAAAGTTTTCAAAATTCCTAAAATGATTTGTCACATAGCTATTTAGAAAGGATTTTCTAAAATTAAAGGAAACGGGCCGAAAGGGATGATTATGCGAATGGTAAATCGTGTATGGGAACTACTAACAAACAAGTAATATTTTTTAATGAATATATTATTGCTAATTGTAGATGTTGATATATGTTATAATAAAGTTAGAAAATATATATTAAATTATAATTTTTTTTTAGCTACGGTCCAATAGAATATATCTGATAACCATTTTACAGATCACAATAATTACTGTATCGACAAAATCGATCACAAATTGTGTAACAGACCCACACGAGTACGCTGAAGATTCACTTACGAGTCAAAGGTTATACTCGTAGTAAGAAGAGGTGAACGAATTCGCAATATAAATATTGGATGGAACATCTCAACCACATTCAGTGTTCATCCTTTGTAACTCGCACAGCTTACTATGAAGCTGGTAATATTTTATATAATAATTTATATTAAAGAAATTAATCTAAATAATTGTAGCAAATATAACTGTAGGGTTTAAAGTTGAAACAAATATTAGATTTTATGTTTTTATCAAACTTATATTAGATATTAGTACAATAGGTTTTTTTTAAAATTTTATTAATTAAGTAATGCTTAGTACCGTCATGCCACGCCAGTGCTTTGCATTTTTTGGAATAATAAAATGCTATAATAATATTAAAAACCTTACAAATATCCGTGACTATGACAATATTATTTTCTTTTTGTATGTAGTTCCAGTAATTAAAAAGCTGTTTCACTATTATTTTTAAATTTTTCTATTTCTTTTCAGCTTATTATCCTATCAGTAGTAGCCTATGGCTATGCGGATAAATTAGATAGGACGTATCTCCCACCGCCCAGTGCTGGCACAGCTGGTGGTAGCCCTGGATCTCTAATTGCTCCAGGAGCTCCAACTACTTTTGGTCAAGGATTCCCATCATCGTCAGGCTCGTTGTCTGGTTCATCTAATTTTGGAGCATCTGGTTTTAATCAAGGAAGTACTAATGGACCAGTTAAAAGTGGACCCGGTTTTGAATCATCAGGATTTGCTCAGGCTTCAGGTGCTAGTAGCTTTGGTTCTAATATAGGTCAAAGTACTTCTTCTTCCGGACAACAACCTGGATTTACTGGACTTAGTGGAACCCAAAGTTTCGCCCAAGGCGGCAGTGAAGGTATTCAGAATAAACCTGGATTAGGACAGCAGTCTAGTTTTGGTCCATCTGGTTCTGCCAATTTCCAGGGAAATGGATTTGGTTCTATTAAAGGATCTATAGCACCATCATTCGGACCAGTATCTGGGGCTTCTGGATCCAATGGATTTGAATCTTCTCAAGTAGGATTTAGCTCAGGACAAGCAAACGCATACTCAGCTCCTCGACCAGATCGTCCCCAAGCAGCCGCAGACAGGAACGCTGAAATATTGAAATATATAAATGAAAACGATGGTGAATCTTACAACTATAGTTATGAAACTTCTAATGGTATATCGGCTGAAGAAACTGGTGTCGCTACAAATGGTGTAAAAGCTCAGGGTGGATTTGCTTATACGGGTGACGATGGCAATAGATATTCACTAACTTACACCGCTGATGAAAACGGTTTCCAACCACAGGGCGAGCATTTACCTACGCCTCATCCTATTCCTGAGGAAATCTTAAAATCGATTGAAAAAAATGCAAAAGCAGCTGCAGCTGGTACTCAAGAAGGTAGATTTAATGAATTTATTTTAACATGATGTTAAGGAAATTACTATTATTATTATTAGTAGTAGTAGTTAGTATAATTTTAAAAACTATCTAAACAAAAAGCGCATTTATACATTAGCAGATTATTGTAATATTTTTAACTAATATGTTATAAAATATCAGAATTAAAGGTATTAACTAAGATTAAAGTCTATATTAATCTTAATTAATACATTAATTCTAGTATTTTTGATATTAAAGGGTCTATTATATTGTTTTGATAAAAGAATTTAAATACTGTTCAGAATAATTTTTATCAGTGAAATGATATATTTTTATTTAAAAAACAATAATTTATTAAAAATTTTACAGGTGCGTATAGACCTGAAGAATATGAATCTGGAAATTCTGCACAGCAATACAACGCGGGAGTATCACCTTATAGCCGACCACAAGGCCAGAACGTTAATTCTCTTCAAGGCCAAGGAGTTAACCAGCCTCAGAGTAATCAATACCCAACAAGCCAAGATATTTCTGGTAAAGGGCAATTAAGTGGTCCATCTGGCTCATATAGTCAGACACAATCGAATCAAGCGAATAACCAATTTTCTTCTGGAACAAATGGCATTAAGGGGCAAAATGGTCAATTTCAACAAGGTTTTGCAAGTAACAGTCAAGGTGTAGCTCAAGGTTCATCAGGACAAAACTTTGCTCAAAATGTGCAAGGAGCTCAAAACAACGGGTATCAATATAATCAACCTCAAAATGGATTTGGCTCTTCAGCTGGTCAACGTCCGTCAGCACAAAATGGTCCACAAATAAATGCTCAAAATCCAACTAGCTATACATCAAGTTCAGCACAAGTTTCTGGAACAAATGACCAAGGTATTTTAGGATCATCTTTAAACCGCCCCAATGTTGGTACATCATACCAGGGTAATCAAATTCAGATTGGATTAGGCAATGGGTCTCCACAGCCTTCATTTGGATCTAATCAGCCATCAATTGGATCTAATCAGCCATCAATTGGATCTAATCAGCCATCATTTGGATCTAATCAGCCATCAATTCGATCTAATCAGCCATCATATGGATCTAATCAGCCATCACTTGGATCTAGCCAATCTCTATCTGGAGCTGCTAGTATTTCCAAACAAGGACAACAACCAACATTTGGGTCTAAGCAGCTATCATTTGGATCTGCAGAAACGTCTAAGCCAGGGCAACAGCCTTCATTTGGTTCTAGCCAATCTTCATTTGGCCCTGCTGGAATTCCCAAAGAAGGAGAACAATCATCATTTGGGTCGAATCAGCCATCATTTGGATCCGCAGGAAATTCTAAACAAGGACAACAGACTGCATTCGGATCAAGCCAATCTTCATTTGGATCTAATCAGCCCTCATTTGCATCCAGCCAGTCTTCAGAATCTCAACAACAGACATTTGGTTCTGCAGGCTCGTCTAATCAAGGTTATCAATATGGATTAAATGCTAATCAACCTGCATTTAACTCTGGCAATGAATTTAGACAGGGTTCTCAGTTTGGTAACAACAAGCAGTCTAGTTCTGGTATAGGTTCTGGTCAGGGATTACCGTTTTCTCCTGAAGCTCAAGGTGGATCTTTAAATGCAGCTCGTCCTCAATATCAACAAAATGGAAAACAATCTTCATTCGGATCTAATACTCCAAGCCAAGGTTCACAATTTGGACCGAACGGTCAATTCGGGCTAAGTGCTACAGGTACGTCTCCATCCAGAGGTTCTCAACCAAATCAACAACCTCAATATAACCAGCCTGGTCAGCAATCTACGTTCGCTCCTTCTGGGCCTCAATCAAATGGAGGACTTAGCTCAGGAGTAAGTGGCTCTGAATTTGGTGGTCCTCGACAACCCCCAAGCTTCAGTCCGCAGGAAGGTTACAAGTATTAGACCAAAGTTAGCGAATTCCTAGACATATAATCGGCATTAAATTCTTTTAGCCATAAATCAGCATGAGAAAAATATAAAAAATATTATTTTGTACATATCATTACGATTGTATAAAAACGATGAACTAAATCACTGTGTGATTGAATAGAAACGAATAAATGTTAGCAAAATGTATATATCTTTTATTTGTACTCCATAACATTACATTCCCACAATTACTTCCACGTAATTACCACAATACCAATTGAGTTAGAACAAAATTGAGTAATTACCAAATTATTTTCAACTAAGATATCTAACCTAACAAATACATCTAAATTACCAGAATTAGTAGTAATACATTCTTATAAAGCTTTTCAATTTAGGTCAGTTTTATAATAAAAGATAATTATAATATTGTTATATGAAGTAATGCCTTAATTTTTTTTACTATAGTATATTTACAACTCAAGAATAAATCAAGATAACACTATTTAGAAAATAAATAAAACACAAGTAGCTTACAACATTACTTTTGTCTAACCTAGAGAGCATTATTAGTAAATCACACCTTTTCCCATATTGTGTGTCGATTGACTCTAGCTACACTTTTATAGTTTTATTCATGAGATACATATATCTAGTACTAAGTACATATTTTCTTTGTACAGGAATCGAAGTGGTGATCTTCTTTCTAGTACTAAGCCATCACATACATAGTTTACAATAACATACTCATAAATTCTACAAACTTTAACCTTTCACATTAAAACAATAAGATCGTCCTAATACTATCTAATATTATGAACTCACCGAAATTATAAAGCAATTATCTCTTACCTAGATCTATTATCGATCTAGACTTAACCAAATTCATCCTTCACATTAAGGATTTACAAATCATCGACATGAATGACCCGAACTCGTTACTGTTAATGGGTCGCGGAATTTAACATTACGTAACATTTTACATGAAATCTCGTTTTTATTGGTTGTTAAAATAGATTAAAGATATAAATAGATAGATAAAAATAGATTAAGTTTATTTAAACTAGTTTCTGTTTGTTGATTTTGTTCACATATTCAGTCACCAGTCACTATTGATAAAAATATCTATATTTACGATCTTGCAAGAGATAGGGCTTTTATATGATATATCATTTCCGATTTGTTTCAATAAATCTTAATTTGAAAAAAACTTTTTATTTTTATTAATTATTAAAAATAAAATTCAAATAATTTTTTTAATTATTGTTATTATAATAATTGTGTTTTATGTTTGTTTAGCATATTTTTTTATTTACTTTCATAAATATTTTTCCTGCCACAAAAACAAAAGACGTAACACTTCTTTTGACGCGAAATGATGATCATGAATTTTTACGATGCGACAGATTTAGACTACGTTATGAGCTCTATAATCAAGATATTTATTCCGGTATTTCTATATACACAAACATAATATAATACACAACACGTGTTTTATATCGAATAAAAAATAAAAACTTATTTAAATGTGTTTTAATTATAACATACAGTGGTGATTGATATATTGGTGAATATCTTAAAAAACATTTTTTTTTGTATCATTGGGGTAAAGTGAGGGTGTATTCTTTTTTTACATTATTTATAAATTACTACTTTATTACTTAACTTGCGACTCACCCTCGCTTCACTAGGGTTTGTCCCTAGGTTGAATCCTCATATAAACTTTCATCCCCATTTTCGTCCCTTAAAGGAGGATTTCCGGGATAAAAAGTATCCTATGTCCTTTCCAGGGTCTCAAACTATCTTCTTTCCAAATTTCATCTAAATCGGTTCAGTAGATCTAGAAATTACCAACTACAAGGTCACAAACTCACAATTCACAAACGTTACCTCTTTATAATATTAGTATAGATAAATAAATATTTAGTTTGATTATTTTTGATTTTACTTTTTTTTTATATTAACATTATCATGTAGATAAATAGCAAAAGTTGATTATGCTTGTCAGTAGGCATTTTCAATTATAAAATTATTATATTGTTTAATTAAACCTTTATTCATTGTATTTAACATCTTTATTTTATTATTTTATCGTCGTATCTACAAATGCATGTATAGTATTGGCACGCAGGATAAAATGTTTGGTGTTATTTTTGTTTTGTTATGTCAAAGAAGTAGGTATAACTTATACGTGCAGTATATACGTACACACAGACTTTTTTATTCTATTTTTTTAGTTAACCTCAATATTTAAATTATTTAAACATATGTACATTACTATGTATACTTATTAAACTATCTGATCGGTCATCAAAGCGGGGCAAATGACGGTCAGTAAATATATAAATAAAAAATAATTTTGAAACTGCAGCTCATAATTCACTTTGTTTTAGTAAAATATTCAGAGTTATATATGTAATTACATAGTTATATGACATAGATTTATATTATGACTAAGTACTATAGAAAAGTGGCAATTTTTAGTTTTGAATGTGTATTGTGAAAGTGGTAAAAATAATAGTGGTAAAAAAAAGTGAACGACTGTTCAATATTCATCCAAAAAAATAGCTGACTTTTATATCTTTGTAAATAAAATTTAGCATATAATTATTTTAAACAAGCAAATTCTAATGCAGGAGCATGTTTTGAGTATCATTTCAAAAGCAGATATATTAGGTTCAAGTAAGAAATATTGACGTGTGTTCTACTCGTTACTTGTCAAGCGGATGCGAGCTAAGGGGGTCACAGAATATCGAGTAATAAAGTTACTTCTACACTTGCTGAAGTCAAAATATTTGTAACAATTACGTTTTGATTAAAAAGTACCTTGACTTCAAAATCTACATATATTATCACTACATAGTATAAAACAAAGTCGTTTTCTCTGTCCCTATATCCCTATGTATGCTTAAATCTTTAAAACTACGTAACGGATTTTGATGCGGTTTTTTTAATAGATAGAGTGATTCAAGAAGAAGGTTTTTTATATAATTTGTTAAGTTTTTGTATACATTGGCTAAAATATAACGATATTTTTTGGAGGTGTCGGAACAAATAAGACGTCTGGGAGCTTTCAACGAAAACGCTGCCTAAACCCTTTGTGATATAACAAAATAATGTATGGTGGAATTGTGTATCTTATATAGGTCTACAGAAAAGTCCACGATGGCATATATCTATCTCCTAAGGATAACATACTATATCCATTTTATTTTAAAACGTACCTAGGGACGAACCAGAGCGAAGCCAGGATGAGTCGCTAGTATGTATATAAATAGGAAAAAAAAACAGCTCAGTACATTTTTTTTTACTCTGTCAACCGATTTTCTTTTTTTGTCTAGTAGCTATTGACGAGCTTTAGTATTATCAATAAAAAGAATTTGGAAGTAGATTTTTTTAAATAAATGAATTCTATTCATATATTATGTTATCCTCAAATATTAATTAATGAATATTATCAAATTTCGATCACTGGACGAACATTAATCACAGTAAATGTAATGATTCCTTGAACATTGGAGTTATTCTTGTTATATAAATTTGTTATTGTTGTTGTTTTTTATGGCTGCCTATGACACACTTAAAGTTTAATTTATTTATTTATATACATTTGATAAAGAAAATCGTTTACAGTTGTCGAAGATACCGAGTAAGGGGCCATTCAAGTATTACGTAAGCACCAAAGGGGCGGGCGGGGGGCCTTTTCTTTGCTTATTTTTGATGACATGGGAGACGGGGGGTCTGGATGGTGATTTACGTCAGCAATATTTATTTACTAAAATAATTAATTAAAGTTTAGTAGATTTTGATTGCTCATCAATGTTTACAGAACACACATGACAACCCTACTTATCTGTACTCAAAAGCGAAAAGCATGTTTAGGGATTCCCCAAAATAATTGAGACGTATTGTTTACGTAAGCACGGGAGGCGGGAGTAAGAGCTGTGCTTACTTTTGCTGACAAGGGGGAGGGAGGGGTAATAATTACTAAAATTCTGCTCACGTAATACTTGAATGGCCCCTAACATACACACAAAACATCTTCGAATTGTATTCAGAGAATAGAGTACAAGAAGTACTCGATTTCAACCATTTCGAAGTTGTTCAATCCATCAATATTAGGCAGTAATAATGCGCTTTTTTGAAAAACCAAGGGAAGCGGGTTGAAGCCCCGGGTCTCGCACTTCGGATTTTCTCAAGTGCGAATCATTTCCAACATGATTACCACTTCTCTTACGGTGAAGGAAAGCATCGTGAGGAAACCTGCATGTCTGAGAGAACCTAGCAAGTTCTCGAAAGACATGTGAAGCCCGCCAACCCGAATTCGGCCAGCGTGGTGGACTATGACTATGGCCCGTGCCCAGCAGTGGGATGTTAAAAAGGCCTTAATACATATATTAAGCGGTAAACCTTATTGCTTAAAAACAAACAAATCAACTTTTAATGTGTAAAGCTTTATTTACTCTAAGGGCTAATAAAAAGATATTTAATCAATAGTTCTTATTTATAGATACTTAAAGCTTACTATCCTTTAGATTTAACACATTTTATGTTCAAGAATCAACTGAGACCGTCACGATTCACGAGACCATGGAAGGTAAGAATTCAGTAAATGTCACGTGTCGCTTTGTGACAGTTATTGTGGTATTTATAGTTTAGATTTTGCAATTATAAAAAGCTACATCGACTTTAAAACCAATTTAAAAGTATTTATTCTACCTTTTGAGATACATTTATTTCTTGATATTTATATAGGAGGTGATGTATACAATATTCATTAAATAATTATTAATTATTAAAATTAATTTACGTTTGACAAAGATATTGTTAATGTAAACAATAAATGTTTTGAAATCTATATCTATACATATAATAAAATTGTAACTAAGTCGAATCTGTACATTAAATATTTTTTGGAAAATCTTATTGAAATAAACAATATTATCGATACAGAGGCAGAATCTGTAGTTTTTAGAATTTTTATCTGTCTTTCTGTCTGTCTGTTACCGCATCACAGAAAAACCACTGGA